CTAAGTACTGCCTTTCTTTGCATAAGACTAAGCATTATCTCCTATTTGCATGAGGCTAAGCATTGCCTCCTTAACTACATAAGGCTAAGCCTGCCTTTCTTTGCATGAGACTAAGCATTGTCTCCTATTTGCATGAGGCTAAGCCCTGCCTCCTTCATTGCATAAGGCTAAGCACTGTCTTCTTTGCATGAGACTAAGCATTGTCTCCTATTTTGCATGAGGCTAAGCCCTGCCTACCCTTTTTTTCATAAGGCTAAGCATTGCCTTTTCCTTAAGATTGAATGCTTTCTTTATTACGCCATCTAAAACCTGGCATTATCCTCTACTCACCCAGGGCTAAGCACTGCCCTCGTCTCACAAGAGACTAAGCCTTGTCTTGATTTGTCTCATCCTCGCACATGACTAAGCATCCTATCTTTGTATTTCATAGGCTGAAATATTGCCATTATGTCCAAATGTGTCATAGTCCAAAGGCATCATCTTCATAGCCGGGAGACACAATTCCATGGTCTGAGGATCTCTTAAGATTGCACATCATTATTTAAAGGCGTCATAGTCCAGAGGCACCATCCTCATGGCCCGAGGACACCATTTCATGGCCTACGATTCCCTTGTCATACGCTTCATGGCCCAGGACATCATGGTCTAAGGACATCATCCTCCTCTTCCAAAGACAATCTTCATGGTCCAAAGGGAATTTGCATCATGCTTAAACTTTTGCAATAACCCATANAACATTTACCTCATACACTTGTAACATCCAAAATTCGTATTCATGACCTCATCTAAAATTGTCTGTTACTTACAACAATATCCTACCCAAAAGAACCTTTCGAAACATGTGACCATTCTTATCACAACTTTATTGGTTTCGTTTGTCGTTGGATCCAGAACTACACACGGCCTGATTCCCATAATACCATAGATATGTAGGCAACTCAGGAACCAGGATTTAGTCTCCATTTTTTAAAGTCACCCCATTCGGTCAAAATCGGTCATCATTTCTTTACCCGACAATTCTTTCATCATTCTCGGGTAAAGATTATGATGTTTCTCTAAATTCGAGTAAATCATGGACTCCCTCTATGATTTACTTACCTTTTATGTATTACCTCATTATTGTCTGTAAGATTATGATGTTATATGGTACTTGCCCCAATTTTGGCAAGTACCAGTACCCAAACGGGATTCCATCGCCTTCAATCTATGAGATTTAGACGATATTTCCTCTATATGCACTCTATATGGTCCGATTCAGCGAGATCCTCGACTATCTATGCTTCCTTTCGAACTAGGGTTTGAATATTTCCCTTGTTCTGTACTGATTCTTGACTGATACCTTTCCTTTTTCGTGTTTGACTATTCTTTTCCTTATTTTTATTTAATCTGCCATGTTTAACCCATGTTGTATTAGCCATCTTATTTCTTGTTACTCTGAAACACTTATGAATAGGATAGTAGCTGGTGACAATGAAATTTCTTGTGTGTCCCTCCAAGCTTCCCAAAATATGTCATATATATCTTGTTGAGTTCGCACATGTTTTCCTAACCTATATTGCTCATTAGGCCTCAACTTAATTTTGCAAAGCTCCTTTGTACAACATAATATTGCAAAGTAGTTCTGAACCGCTTATCACTTTCAAAAATCATTTCCAACTGGAAATAATTTTTCTTGCATACAGGATCAAAGTATATCCTGCTGCTGTATCTACTGGTTGAGGGTTATGTACCTCATCTTCTTCAACTCCTTCATCATTCTTATCCTTGCTACCTGGATCTGAAATGTCCAGGTATTGCTCATCTCCTTCCAACTTCCCAACATATTTGGAACCCCTGTCCTTATACATGTCTTCAAAATCAGGGTCTATACCTACAGGTCCACTAGGTATCTCATCAGTATTAGCTTTACTGGATCTTAGTTTGCTACTCTTTTCTTTCATTTTAGCATGTCTAGCAACAACAACTTAAAGTTCTAGATCATTTGTCTCTCTAAGAATGTCCTCATCAGCACCATATAATAACTCATTTGTATCATCATCATCAGAAATAGCATCATAATCACCATCCTCACTCTCAGAACTTCCCTCGTCAACATCACACTCATCAACATCACCCTCAAAATCAGTTGCTAAATGAAAGTTGTAGAACTCACTTTCATCCTCACTAGACTCTTCTATATTAGCAATCCTCTCTTTACATTTCCCATGAGTGTTATCACCCATATTTATATCATTATTAGGTATGTTTGTTGCCCTAGCATTAACATCACTTGTTTGCCCATGTGGTATTTCATTAAAGCCACATTATTGAACATCAGTGGGGTCCACATTTAAACCACTAGTATCCAACATTTCATCCAGGTCCAAATCTACATATGGTGTATTAATTATGTGATATAGATACACATCAATAAAATCCCCATCCTTAAGGTCTTTATGCAAAGCTAACACATCAGCATCATATTTCAGAAATCAAAATTATCCTTTTTTGTTAATTTTACATGCATATTTATTTACTGTTAAGTACCTCATATCCTTAGCCCACTCATTAAAATAAATTATATGCAATTCATCAATGTCGGCTTGTAGAATAACTGGCCAAATTTGCCCATTTACATACCTCATAAATGGGTCAGCCACCAACCACCCTAGATGATAAAACTGTAATTTCACATATACATCCATTGCAACCTATAAAAAAAATAAAAAAACTAAGTTAAATACACTTTAACCCTAAAAAGCCTTAACTTTATCACAGTGAGAGACAATAATATTTTGATATGCCAAAAGCCCTAACTGTTTAACCAAAAATGCCAAATCAGTCATGAAAAAGATAAAATCCATAAGTAAAATTAAAATTCGACTGTTTTTCCAAAAAACTATAATTTAAAATCCCAATTAATAAAATAATTAGTGCATGAAGACAACAAATAACTTCGACTATGAAGCAATATTTTATAAGAAATTAGATGACAAAAGAGGAAACGACATCAAAAGAGACAAACAAACCTTCAGATCCTATAACGTCATTGGAATTGAAAGGACGGACCAAACGAAACTCGATCAGAATGAGGTTAATAGATAATAAGCAAACAAACAATTGAGTGAGTGATTATGATCGATTTTGGAAAGGGGTGAGTGATTGTTAGGCCATTAGTAACCTACGTTTAACAGGGGAGGGTTTGGTTAGAGAGAGGTTAAAATAAGGGGAGGGGGTCGGTATATGGAATAAAATAGGGGACCCCGATATGTTGGGTTAGGGTTTTTGCGCTCTTGACGTGTAAGACATCCATTGGTCATTTGCTGACTGGATGGACATGTATGTGCATGTGTAATACACACGCGCATAGTCTCTTTTTAGATGTGTTTATTAGTTACGAGAAAAGTGAGTTCGAGTGTTCAAATTGAAAAGTTAAAAGTTTATGTATCGGCTTTTAAAACCCTGTCAAGTTTAAGTAGCGAGGAAGCCATTCCGTCTTTGAAATAATAATAAAAAAAGCTTTATCTGAAGTCCATATATTAAAGTTTTGGTGGTCGCAATCTATTTGGTTATCATCCTGAATTAAGGATTTAGGTTAGGTGGCAGAAAACAAAATATCGGGAAGTAGAAAATCAGAATTACTTATTTATTTGTGTTTACTTTTAATTAGAATTATTTCTTATTTGATAATAATTAGTTCATCAAAAGCTTAATCTCTATGAAAAAGGACAATAACTTTCCTATGTACCTAGAAGGAGGAGGAGGAGGAGGAGGAGGAGGAGGAGGAGGACAATGTAATAAGAAATTAGCAACACCAAATTCTTAACTAACTTTCCTTTTGTCACATGAGATATAATAAGATTGAGACATAGCAATGAGACAATGAACTGTTTTTATTAGAACATAGATAAATTATGAGTTAACTACCACATCAAAATAATAATAATTTGAAAGTTAGGCCTATTGTTTTACAACACATGTCCACTTTAGACTATTTTTATATAAAAATAAAAATACTACCATGGTGGACACCGGACGCCTATATATGAGATAAAATGTGTTTAAGATTGATTTTTATTTTCATATATTTAATCAAATAGTAATATGCTATTTATGTTTTTTGAAACAACACCACAAAATAACCATAAGTAAATTTTCATAGATTGATAATCAAAATATATAATATTTTCCTAAAACTTTTACTTTTCAACTGTTCAAAAGAAAACCAATGCCACCTAAAATTCATTTGAAAAATACTTATTCATGCTGAGTATTTACATCAAATTGTACTTATTCATCTTAATTTAGTAATAAATAGAGACATCAATACATATATTAATTAGTCATCATTATTATGTGTGTGACATAGTGTATATGAGACATAAGTTTAATGTGCTAATTGGTTTAATATTAATATTGGGTTATATTAGTTTTTTTTCTTTTAAATTCATGCCCTAGGTTGAGTTTTAAACAAAAAGCTATAACCCTACAATTCTCCCCAACCCCATTTGACGAAAAAGGGTAAAAATAAAATAATTTTTAAACAAATATACGTGCTTAAAGGAATACATCTGCTTAGACCAAAGGAAAAATACTCAGAGAAACACAATAGAAGTCTCTGTTAATGTGAGATATCACCTCACATCTTGTGGAAGAAATGAAAGAGGGATGAACCCTAACAGTAACGAGGAGAGAGAGAAGAGAGAAAATGAAAGAGGAAAATATCTGCCCTTGTCTTATTTTCAGAATGTTCCCACGTATATACAATTGCAATTCCAATGAAATGAATGTAATGTAAGTAGTAAAAATTGGGTCGGGTATACAATTGGGCTAGCTTATGTCTGACTAAAACTATGTAGGCTCAACACCCCTCCCCCTCAAGCTGGAGGGTGTAGACACTCCAAGCTTGCACAATAACTGATAGTGGAGAGGCCCAGACAAGTTCTTAGTCAACATATCCGCAAGTTGATTAGAGTTGAAGACAAATTGAAGAGAAATCAACCCAGAACTCAAGTTGTCCCTTACAAAGTGACAATCAACTTCAATGTGTTTGGTGCGCTCTTGGAAAACTGGATTTTAACAATGTGTAAGGTTGCTTGGCTATCACAAAACAGATGAACATGAGCATAAATAGACAAATAAAAGTCACCTAGTAGTCGAACCAACCAAGATATTTTAGCTAACACCATCCTCAAGGACCTATACTCAGCCTCAGCTGAGGAGAGAGAGACAGTAGGTTGTTTCTTGCTCTTCCATGAAATGGGACTGCCTCCAAGAGTAATATAGAAACCAGTGACAAATCTTTTAAAAATAGGACAGACAGCCCAATCAGAGTCTGATAAAGTTGCTAAGGACAAATCAGAGCTGGTAGAGAGGAGAATCCCTTGGGTAGGAGCATTTAAGAGATATCTGAGAACATGAAGAGCTACTAGCATGTAAGGAACATGGGGAGATTGCAAAAATTGGCTGAGGTGTTGGACAAAAAAAGATATGCCAGGTTTGGTATGTTGTAGGAAATTGTGTTTGCCTACCAATCTCCTGAATTTAGTAGGATCAGAAAGAGGATCTCCCATATCAGCAACAAGTTTAACAGTGGAATCCAAGAGAGTAGAAACAGGGGTGAAGTTGTCACAATGAAACTCAGCCAAGAGATCAGAAGTGTACTTATGTTTGCTCATGAGGTACCCCTGTTGGTGTGAAGTGATTTCCAAACCCAAGAAATAATGGACAACACCTAAATCATTAATCTTGAATTGGTTATCCAAGAAAGCCTTCAGAGAATTCAATTCAATAAGATTATCTCCAGCTAAGAGGATGCCATCCACATAAATGGCTACCACAATTAGAGAAACACCAGAAGCCTTTGTAAATAAGGAGTTGTCATTTTTTCTTGAAATATAGCCTCTAGAAAGCAAAGAATCAGACAACTTTGAAAACCACTGCCTAGATACTTACTTGAGGCCATAAAGAGACTTCTTGAGTCCTTAAACCAAAGAAGAAGATGGGGAATATGGGGCAGAGATCACCAAACTAAGTGGATGCTTCATGTAGACCTCCTCAAGTAGGTCACCATGCAAAAAAAGCATTATTAATATCCAACTGGAAAACAGTCCAACCCATTTTGACAACCAAAGTGAGAAGGCATCTAATAGTGGTGATCTTAACAACTGGGAAAAATATCTCGGTGTAGTCAACCCCTTCTCTTTGGGTATCCCCTCTGATTACTAATCTGGCCTTGTACCTCTCAATGGTACCATTTGACCTTTGTTTAATCTTATAGACCTACTTATAAAGGAGAGCCTTCTTATGTGGATTAAGAGGGACAATGCCCCAAGTCTGATTTGCAGTGAGAGCATCAAATTCCTTTAGCATGGCCTCTTTCTATGTAGGATTAGTAGCAGTCTGCTAGTAAAATTGGGGCTCATACAGATGTAGTTCAATTGTAGGAACCTTGGATGACACATAAGGGGAAAGGGAGGAAGGTATAACAGAATTGCAGACATAGTTCCCAAGATAAGCAGGGGCTTGGACAGTTCTGCAAGATCTTTTAAGTTCAGGAACAGAGACAGTAGGTGAAGACGTGGAAGGATGAGAGGTAGAAGAAGAAGAGGAAGAGATAGAAGTAGGAGGAAGAACAAGAGTAAGAGTGGAAGGGGAAAGAGGACATACAAGAGAAGAGACATGGGAGAAAGAGGATGGGGAAGGAGTAACAGATGGTGGAGAAAGGATATCAACAAATATGGGAGGGGAAGAAGGATCAGAAGAAGAGGAAGACTGATAGGGGAAGATATGCTCATGGAACACAACATCCCTAGAAAAGAAAATAGAGTGGGAAGATAAATTCAACAATTTGTATCCCTTCTTCCCATAAGGATAACCCAAACAAATAGCAGAAATAGACCTGGGTTGAAACTTATCTCTGCCAGGCTTGGGACTGACATCATGGCAGAGGCAACCAAAAGATCTAAGATGATCATAAGTGGGGGCATAACCATGCAATTTTTCAAAAGAGGAGACATTTATAAGGACATGAGAAGGAATTCTGTAAATGAGGTAAGTGGCAGTGAGAACACACTCACCCCAATACTTGAGGGGAAGCTTTGATTAGAATAGAAGTGCTCTTGAGACTTATATCAAATGTTTGTATTTTTTTTCAACTATACCATTCTGTTGAGGAGTGTGAGGAATGGTTGTTTGGTGATGAATCCCATTAGCAATAAAATATTGCTGAGCTTCAGCACTACTACCTAGTACATAGGCATTGTCGGATCTAAAACATTGAACAGAGGACTGAAATTGAACTTTGCCCATCTGAAGAAAAGCTTTAAGGATGGAAAGGGTATTACTCTTACAAGACATAAGATGAGTCCATGTGATCTAGTGAAGTCATCAACTAAAGTCAGAAAATACCTAAAAATCATTGTATGTTTGGGTGTCGTAGGGACCCCAAATATCAATGTGAACAAGTTGAAAAGGTACAGTAGAATGAATGGAGCTAGCAGGGAAAGGTAACCTCTGTTGTCTAGGCATAGGGCAGACATTACACAGAAAAAGTTGCTTAGATGAAATTTTATCTGATAAAAAGGGATAGACTTCATTTTTGCAAAAGGAATATGATCCAGTCTTTGATGCCAAAATACATCATTTTTATTATTAACAATAGAGGAATTACAATGTGAACTAGGGATTACAGAATGAGAAGTAGAACAAGGAACCTAACTAGGTACATTACAAAAAATAGAATTTGAAACTGGAAGAAACTTGGAAATATAAACAGGAGAGTATCCACCGGCTGAATGTAGAAAATACAGTCCATTTGCAGCCTTGCGAATTACTAGAGGCCTACTCAGAGAAGGACCCTATAAAATATAATTGGAAATAGTAAAAGCTGCAATGCATGTGAACTGTAGAAGTAATTTGTGCACAGAAATCCAATTGAAATGAAAGGATGGAACTAAGAGGACATTGTGTAATGTCATATCAGGACAGAGAATTAAGGACCCGGTAGATATGACTTTTACCTTATAACCATTAGGTAAGGTTATTAGGAAAGGTGTGGTTAAAGGTTTGAGATTGTGAAGGAGATGTTTGTGGGAGTCATATGGTTTATAGCACCAGAGTCAATGATCCAAGGGTTTCTACCTAAACTTGACACAACATATGCATGAAATGCAGCAGAATGAACCTCAAGGTGGTTGTACACACTTGCAAACTTGGCAAATTTTATATTGTCAGTAGCAATGCTGTCATGATAGGAGAAAGGAGTAGAAATGTTGACATGCTGAAGCAAGGTCATAAGATGTTGATATTGTTCCTTAGTAAACCCATGGGCAACAACTTCAAAAGGACTAGGATTGATAAAATTAGAACTTGGACCAGGACTTTCAGACTGAACACAGGCTGCAGATCTCATATTCTTTGTAAACTTGAAATCTGATGGAAAACCGTATAGCCTGTAGCATTTATCCAATAGTGTTCCCAGGTTTCTTGCAGTATTTGCATACAACATTAGGAGAAGGACCAGAAAGTTTCTTTGACTCAAACTGAACCCTCTGATTAGAACCTCTATGGTTGTTGATGGGACCAGTTGCAGCAGTAAAGGAAATAGAATCATTTGAAAAATTGGGAATGGGAGCAGAAGTCTCTTTCTGTTTTTCATCATGTTGAAGCATAGAGTATGCTTTACTGAAGGAAGGAAGGGATGGCATCATCAGAATATTACTTTTACAGGTGGAGTAAGATTCATTTAAATCACTAAGGAACTGATATATTTTCTGCTCCTCAATGAACTTAGGTAATGCACCACAAGAACACACATGTCCAATGGAAGCAGTGGTAAGTTCATCCCAGAGACCTCTCAATTTAGTGAAGTATGCTGCAATATCTAAGGATTCTTGGGAAGCTGCACTAAGTTCTCTTTGGATCTGGATATATTTGGAACCATTAGAAGTACCAAATCTTTCATTTATATCGGTCCAGATATCCTTCGCAGTATCAAAACCCATTACACTATTAGTTATGTCCCTAGACAATGTGTAAACAACCCCGGAATGGAGTTTTGATTATTCCAATAGCTACGTACGGTAATTTTGGACTTAGGAGCGTGTCCGAAAAATTATTTGGAACCCCGCAGTGGAATTTGGTTTGAAATGGCAAAAATTGAATTTTTCGGGAAGTTGACTTTTTGGTATCAGGGTCGGAATCCAGTTCTAAAACTTTTCATAGCTCTATTATGTCATTTATGAATTGTGTGCAAAATTTGAAGTCATTCTGTATTGATTTGATGTGTTTCGGCACAAGATATAAAATTTGAAAGTTCAAAGTTCATAGATTTTGATTTGAGGTGCGATTCGATGTTTTGATGTTGTTTTATGTGATTTGAGACCTCGAGTAGGTACGTGTTATATTATGAAACTTGTTGATATATTTGAACGGGATCCCGAGTGACTCGGTGAGTTTCGGGGTGAGTTTTGAGCGATGTCCGTGTATTTAGGCACTCAAATATTGTTCTCGAACCTTTGGAAAAGTACGGACCGCACAATTTTGAGTACGGACGCACTTCAGAGAAAAAGTGCGGACGGCAGAGGACAAGTGCGGACCGCACAATTTTGTGAATGGCCGCACTTCAGAGGAAAAGTGCGGACCACACAATTTTGTGTGCAGTCGCACTTCAGGGGTTCTGCAGGTTCGATGGTCCGACTTCGAAGGCTTATATCTTTTAATCCACAATGTATTTGGAGATGATTCAGAAATAAAAGTTGTAGCCCTTTGAATCTAGTTTCCAAAAAGGTATAGCATGAATCATTTGGACATTTGTGCAGAACATTATGGGCATTTTACTGAAGCTCGGTAAGCTGTCACAGTGAAGTGCGGCCGCACTCAAAATTGTGCGGTCGCAGAACTTGAAAATGTGCGGCAACAATTGAAAATGTGCGGACCACACATTAGGAGATCAAACGTGGTACCATAAAACCGAGGGTTAGGGTATTATTACACATTTGGACTTTGGGAGCTCGGTTTTGTGGCGATGTTTCATGGGATTTTCAAGACATTCATCGAGGTAAGTGATTCTAACTCAGATTTGGTTAACATATATGAATATATTATTGTTTTCATCATTTAATCAGTATTTTGAGATGGAAATTTGGGGGAAATTGTAGAAATTTCATAAAATGAATTTTTGAGATTTGAACACCGATTCGGATTCGGATTTGGATGAAATTAGTATGGTTGAACTCGTAATTAAATGGGTTATCGGATTTTGTGAATTTCATCGGATTTCGAGACATGGGCCCCACGGGCAATTTTTAGAGTATAATTTCGGATTTTGTGGGAAATATTAGTATTTTGATATGGAATTAATTCCTATGATTTGTATTGACTGAATCGAATTAATTATAACTAGATACGAGGCTTTCGGAGGAAAATTTACGAGGCAAAGGCATAGCAGAGTAAAGAATTACACGATTGAGGTAAGTAACACTTCTAAACTTGGATCTGAGGGTCTGAATCCCTGAATTACGTGTTGTATGAATTATTTGGAGATGGCACACATGCTAGGTGACGGGCGTGTGGGCGTGCACCGTAGAAATTATGACGTAATTGGTTCCGTAGAATTGTGTAGTCAAATAATCTTGGCATTATCCATGTAGTTTTATGTGTTAAAGAAATTGAGCTAAGAATAATGTTAAAAATCATGTTGAGGCTATATGCTAGTATTATTGAGACCTACAAAGGTCATATTGATGTTGAATTATTTGTTTAAATTAAAATTTCATACTCAGTCATCTTCCTTCATTTAATATTATATCCCGGTCTCTGCTATTATTTATTGATACACCATATCATCATTTTGGGCTAGTTTCATGACATTGTGAGCCCGAGAGACTGGAGAGAGAGATGACTGAGTGAGGCCGAGGGCCTGATTGTGAGGTTATTATTATGGGATCGGGATGCACGCCGCAGCAAGTTTTATTTACTTATGCCTGGATCTGGCTTATAATAGCGCCCGGGCTGAAGGAGCCCCTCCGGAGTCTGCATCCCCCACAGTGAGCGCAGTTGATATATGTATCTGGGATAGATCTTTCCTCGGCATGGATCTTGCCATAGATATATATATATATATATTGAGGGATGGATCTTGCCCGAAGCATTTATATTGAGGGATGAATTTTTCCTGGGCATGGATCTTGCCGGAAGAACTTATATTGAGCGATGGATTTTCCCTGGATATGGATCTTGTCGGAATCATTGATATTTAGGGATAGATCTTCCCTTGGGCTGGATTGGCCTTATACAATACTGAGTGACTGATTGTTAGTTGATGGATATACATATATACTTGGGATGGATCTTCCCTGGGTTGGATTGGCCATATTAAGTACTGAGTGATTGAGTATTCTGAGAGTGTGAGTACATGAGGCTACCATTGTGGTACATCACATACAACATATACTTTGGCATGTAGATATAGTGATGTCATATTTCTCATATCATGCAGATTTTATCTATTTTTCCTGTATTGAGATTAACTGCTGAACTGAAAAGCATGCCTACATTTTTGTACTGTTATTTATGTACCAAACTATACTTGTTGAGCTCGTCACTACTTTCAGCCCAGAGGTTAGTCTTGTTACTTATTGAGTTGGTTGTACTCATACTACACTCTGTACCTCGTGTGCAAATCCAGGTACTTCCGGGTACGGCGGTTGCCAGATTTGAGGATTTATCTGTTGGAGACTATCAAGGTAGCTGCTTGGCGTCCGCAGACCTTGACTCTCTTTCCTTTCAGTTATTGTAATATTCTATATTTTTAGACAGTGTTCCTATCCATCAGACTTTGTACTATTTAGATGCTCATGTACTCAGTGACACCGGGTTTTTGGAGTGTTTATATTTATGTTTTTGAGGTTTTCTTCCGCTGAATTTAATAATTATGTGTTCAAATTTAAAAGATATGGTATTTTATTGAGATTATCGGCTTGCCTAGTATTGAGATAGGCGCCATCACGACAGATGAGATTTTGGGTCGTGACAAGTTGATATCAGAGCCTAGGTTACATAAGTCTCACGAGTCATGAGCAGGTTTAGTAGAGTCTTGCGGATTGGTACGGAGACATCTGTACTTATCTTCGAGAGGCTGCCGAACCCTTAGGAAAATTTTACTTTCTTGTTTTCTATAGTGCGGAATTGATTCAGCTTGAAACATAATTCTTTGAATTCCTTCTACGCATTTGTGTGTGTATATGAGCGCTCAGTGTCAGTTGTGCATCGCTGGCTTGTGATTCCATGAACAAGGTTTGATATGTGTATTCTGTGTTTTGTTGATGGGCTAGTCTAGAGGACTTGAGGCCGGAGTTAGACCGCAGCTTAATCTAGGTAGTCTCGATTGTGAGAACTTGTGCAATTGGACTTATGTGTTCGGTAGTATTCCTATGAGTGGTAATTGTGGCTGCGAAAGGGTATAGCAATATGCCAATTTGAGGCTAAGCATGTGGGTTATCCCCTGCGGAGTAATCTACGTAGGTGTGTTCCTTATAATGTTGAGTGGAGAGTTTCTTTTCTGCTAACGGGGCGTATGTGTTGACGTTTGAATTTGAATCAGGTCGAGAAAGTTAACTTGACTGTCACGAGAATAAATGCGAACTTAGCGGATGATTGAGGTATTTTATGGTGGGTGTTGCATAAGCTTGAGAAGAATTTTCGTTGAACTGACTGCAGTATTACGGCAGTAATAAAGTATGGGTATTGTGATTTATCAAGTGTTTTGTTCTATAGCTTTGAGCCAAGTGGGGGGAGTCTGCTATCTACAATGTGATTGCACGATTATGTGCGGTATTGGTTTTGGTCTGATGCATACTTATTGATTAGTTATGACTTGCAGAGGTTGAGATCGGGGATGACTCGAGTAAGAAATTTCTTGAATACGGGTTATATTGCACTTTATGAAAATATGAAAAATCATGAAATGATTAAATGGTTATTTTGAAGGATGTAGTGCACACGAAGTATGGATTTGATTGGTGGTGTTAAGGCAGGGTTACTTATTTGGGGGATGTTGTACTAATGGGGCTTGTGTCTTTCGGCCCGTTTGGGCGGTGCAATTTAGATTTGAGTATAGTGGGTGACTTTCGAAAGGGTTCTAATGGATTCAAAATGTATATGTGTCAATTGAAGAAAAAAATTCAAAATTTGTATATTTCCAGAATCGGTTATTTACACTGGATGGTGCCGGGACTTTCGATAATTCTGTATGATTATGGATTCTACATTGCAATGCAAGAAAGGTAAAAAGGAACAATTTTAAGTCCACATAAGGTCTTTTCAGTGTGAAGGTCTCGGTTGTGGTACTTTTGTGGTGCTTAAGAAGAATACAGTGGCTTATGGGCCTTAGGACGATGTGGTTTAATGTTA